AATATTTAAAAACAGGAGTCCAATTATAAAATCTTGTGTATAGCTAAGTTCAGCTGAAGAATACCGCTCTCACAGCAGAGAAAATGACAATACGAGACACAGAATAACAGTCCTTATTTTACTTTGTTCACATTATTCTGATATAGCCATCGCAATAGGCACTGGGTTAAAAAGAAACCACACAATCAACATGGGGCACTTGTGGCCATGCTATGTTGTGAAGGCCAGAAATACAACTGAGTTTAAAAAAAAAAACTGGATAAGTTCATGGAGGAGAGGTCCATCAATAGCTATTTAGCCAAGATGGTCATGAACACATGCTTCAGGTGCACCTAAACCTCCAACTACCAGTAGACAGGGCTGGACAACATTGTGAGATCTCTCAAAGTTGTCCCATTCTGTTCATTTGCTCTGAAGTATCTGGCACTGGCTACTGTCAGAAGACAGGATACGGAGCTAGACAGACTATTGGTCTGACCCAGTGTGGCTATTCTTATCTTAGAAGATTGCAATGTTTTCAAATGGCCCAGTAATTTTTCCTATATGAAGAATATTAAGTTGTATTTTGTTTGCTTTAAAGGGGAATTGAGCCACCAATTTTTCAAATTTGTATTTTTTCTGATCACTGTTCCCTACTTGTTACTTTTTCTGGACTTGTTGTTTCAGGATTTCTTCCTGGTCTTGTTCATTTTTAAAGTTAAAAAAAAAAAGAAGGGGGACTCATCTGCAAAGACATCAGGAGACCACAGCAAAGAAGGGAATCACAATCATAAATAAAGTCAGGCAGCACGGGAAAGAAAAAGAAAATACACACACACACACACACACACACACACACACACACACTATTCTGGACTGCAGAGTTTTGGATCTGAACATCCCTTGCAATTAGGCACCATTTTTGAACAGAGATTCAAAACATTAGTTGGGATTGATCCGGCTTTGGGCAGGGGGCTGGACTTGATGATTCTATGAAAGGGCCTGTGGCTGGCTAAGAACATTACATCTTGTGCAGTCCCCTTTTTTAAATGAGCAGTTCTTAACTAGTCTTGTCAATTACTTTTTAAAAATGTATTCATGGGACTTGAATGCCCTCCTTAATTCAACGGTTTACTCACACGAACCCAGTTATCAGCATGTGGCTGTCCATTATACATTTTTGTTCTTTCACAACAACATAATTAAAGTAGATCTTTGAGAAATCACTGACCCAAATGTGGACCCACTCGCATTTATTTCTTCACTGACCATGATTGGGGTCAGCATTTAGGATTTTGCCTTTGGTTTAAAAACAGACTTAGCGTTTGCTTGTTGATACTTTATCATTACTCGCCGCAAAACCATCATGAAGTGTCCCTCCAGTAATGCATTGCAAGTAGATTATCTTTTTTGGTTCCCTCCTTTATTTTCAAACACAAATACACTTTTTTTTTCTAAGTTTTCCATCTAAACACACTTTTAGGGAACTGACCTGCAACTTGCTTGGTAAGGATTAAAGCAAGAACCTTGGCTTTGGGCCTGCTGCGTGAAGCACTTTTGTTTTGTTAGGAGTTGCTACTTTGGGATTTGACATTATCCAGTACAGAATATTGACTTCTGAACAGGATTTGTGTGTCTAACTAGACAAATCTGAACTGAGTTCTGAAGTAAAAAAGCATTCAGAAGCAGGAGTGTGAAGAATGATGTTATTTTATTAAATAGTTATTTACCTTTCAGTTCTAGTTTATTCATTAGCTTTCCATGAAGTGACTTGTGCAGATGAGAGCTGGCTTTGGTTTTGTTTCAGGCCACATTTGTTTAATCCTCAAGCTTGTACACCATAACTTAAAAGTTTTATTTTATTTATAGGCACCTATTGTTATTAATACATATTTATTATTTTGGAATATATTACAAAAGGCAAGAGACAAAAGAAATAGAAACATAATCTTCATAAAAGTCACCCCAATACTGTGCAATAGTTAAGTGTCTATTCTGTATATTATGCTTCACAGACATGCAGGACTTTCATATGCTTGTTATGTTAGAAGGAGATTGCAATGTTTGACAAGTCATATGTAGAAGAAGAACAAGAGCAAAAGTCATGACAGCAAAAGTGTTCCTTCACTGAGTGGCTTTGTAACCCATAGGTGTTTTACTTCAAAACATACAGGTTGTTTACTCAAAGGTTCAGAGAGGTTTGACTTCCCCTGTCCTACCCCAATACTGTGCATTTAGTGTTGACATTTTCCTGTATTGTTAGGCCATTTAACCAAATGGGAAAAGGGAAACCGGCAAAGCAGTCTCTTACCATGAATGTGTATAAGCAGCTGCCAAAGAGGAGAGGTTAATTATTGGTGTTTATGAAGCCTCTTAATCTTGCAAGTGGAAGGCATGGTAGGACTAAGACAGCCTCTCACACAGAGTAAGTGACAAGATTTTCTAAAGTATTTAAGTGACTTTGGAGGAGCCCACAGACATTAAGCTCACATGCCCAAGTCATTTTTAGAGAAACAGATATTTGAAACGTTTATTCTGAAAAGAGACTGATCAGTCACACAGGAAAATAATTCAGCAATCTCAGCCTAATGCTTCACGAACCATTCCCCACATTGCATAATTTGCCAGTCTTAAGTCATGACAGTCTCAGGGACTAGGACAGCAGGAGTGACAGTAGTCAGGACTGAGATGTATTGGTAAAAATTTTAGATGTTTTGGTGTATTATGTGCATACATGCCATCCTATGCACTAAACATGCTTTGATGAAAGGCCTTTCCATTTAATTTCACAATTTTCTTTTAGAAGAACATAACCATAACCATCTGATTAAGTCATTCTAGAGGCAAACATACTTTATACTCCTCCTTGCAAATAGTAAAAAATGAGTTTTTGGGCGTTTGTGTCAAGAGAGTCACCAGTACTAAGTCAGTACTTGCCAACTTGTACTAGGTACACATGATATCCTCTAAACCCAGGGGAGAAAATGGGAAGTTACTCTGGAGTAAAATGGTGATGAATATAGACTTCATGGTGTCTACCATACCCAGAGCACTAAACTAAGTTGTTCTGAATGAAGTCCCCTCAAAACTTAACACCTCATTTTGATTTTAAAACACTTTTCTTTTTAATAAAGATGGAGACCTTCACAATGCTCTGCATGATCCAGGTACTGTACTTTCCTAGGCTTAAAACTCAAACATATGCTGAGCAGAGCCTAAGTACCATGAGTTTAACACTTTTGAAAAGAGGCAGCCTTAAAATACTCTCCATCCTCCAATGCCTCTGGTAGAGACAGCAGCAGAGGCAGGAAGGAGAGACAGGCAGCACCACGCAAAGGGTGCTGAGAGGAACCGGCTCTTAAGCTGGCTCCCCCCAGCACCAGATCTTGTTCCTCCCCTTGCTGCATCTCATACAGAGGCAGCGAAGGGGGGGGGGGGGGGAAACGAGTAGTCGAGTACTCCAATCAAATACCTGATAAGCTCAGGCTTGTTGAGTAGTTACTTACATCCCTACTCTCAACCCCTTGAATAGTTTTCTACATCTCTCTTTCATTTATTGCTGGATTTACAATCACATTATAGGAAACCAGCAAGGACTCACAAAAACAGGACACATCTAATTATTCTCCCCAGGTGAAGGTGTGGAATAGCCTTCTAGCTAGAAAGTGTGCCATAAAAACCACATTCTACAGCATACATGCCATATGTTAACACAGTCCTGGAGCTTCCTTAATTCTGGATGTACTACCTAGAGAAAGGGCTTACACACTGAGCATAATGCCAAAGACAGGAAGAGGAAGACACACAACTGATCACAGGGATTCGAACCACAGTAAAAAGCAACAGAGTACTGTCCAAGGAGACATATGGTAAATCTTGGCAAAAAATGCAGTATTAATCATAAGAGGGACTGCATGACCTTCACAGAATCAAATATATAATCAGAGTATCAAGTTAACAGATCAACCATGACTACTTTTTAAAAAAATCTAATGCAATCCTGTGGATAGAGCCTGGGGCAATTCCTTTAGAAAAAATGAGTATATCTCCAATTCTTGAACTAGTATTTCACCAAGAAGCCATAGTATCTCAGCAATTGCCCAGTATTCCCATACTTGAAGCCACGTGATTTCAGGTAAAGCTATATATATCTACCTTATTATTTCCTTTGATTTCCAATTTAACATTATTAGAAAAAGCAACTGAAAATTTAATCTCATTTATTATAAATATTAGATATTTTTGGAAAAAAAAAAAAAGGTCAAACCTCCACATTTAACTTCTATTTAAATCAAAAGATCATTTCTGTGCACAAACTGACGACTAACTTTCTTCTGACTAGTGATTTTTCTTGATAGCTAATCTACTTATAGCTTCTATCACGATTGGTATTATTTCTATGCCCTTGTAGGCTTCTATTTAAAACAAGAACAAAAACATGAAAAAAGTCACATTGACAACTCATGGTGTGTTCAAAACTTCTTCTACACTTATGCAGCCTACTGGCTAGCAATCATGAAAATTAAGTGATTTATTGGATACAGACAAATCACCAATAAGAAGGAAAGTACATGTTGTGTAACCTGATCTTTAAGTGGCCTTGGACATTGTTGGAGCATCTATCATTAAAACAATGAGCTGCTCAAAGTGGAAAGGGAAGAATTTTGTCCCTCCACTTATTTTCAAGAGCAGCTTTGTGGTCATGATCACTGTAAAAACATCTCCATTGTATTTCAGTATCGATTTTAAAGAACTAGAAATACAATTAAGGACACAATGTGGTGGGCATCTATATGAATTGCTTAGTCTGGGTTACAAATTCTCCCATGTATGGGAGACAGTTACAAGATGTTGGGAATAAAAAGGAAATAAAAACAGGATTTTGGACACTTTGGTATGGCTTTTAAGGCGACTATGATATAAGGTACATAGATGCTTTAGAGATTATGGGTTCCCAAACTGGGCTACTGCATCAAATTTGTTCATCTGACACTCCACCTTATCAGTTGGTAGTCCAAGAAATATCACAGCATTTCCAGTGGGAAAAGCCACAAAAGGTATCAATTAACCCATAAGAATGGCCATACCTAGTCAGACTAAAGGCTAACAGCCATTGATGGACCTATCTTCCATGCATTTATCTAGGCTTTTTTTTTTTTAAACTCCATTATTGTCTTGGTCTTCACAACATCCTCTGGTAAAGAGTGCCACAGGTTGACTGTGCATTATATGAAGAAATAAGTCCTTGCGTTATGGGAACAAGTAAATAACTTTTCCTTATTTACTCTCTACACAGCAGTCACAATTTTATAGATTAACTTTATTTCCACTTTCTCTTAACTATTAGGCCTCAATCACCATCATTACCTGCTATTTGTACGGAACCATCTTCACCCAAAAGGATATTGCCAGCTTTCAAATCCCTGCAATGCACAAATGACAAGACAGTTAATTTTCTGAATAAAATTTCATAATGTTATGATTCTACATATTGTACAGAAAGCTTCATAAGACAACATAAAATTAGCAAAAGGTTCAACCACTCAAAGCATGCTGATTATTGGATCTGCCACTAGCAAGCCAAGGCATTTAAAATAAAGGGAGTGACAGAACCTTGTCTGCTTATATAAAAGCGATTAGATATGCAGAATTTCTTCCACTGAATCCAAGGACAGAAGGAACCATTTAAGTTGATGTCTGGTGCATGAAATACAGCCTCTTCCCGACTTACGAACTGGTTACCGACCAAGCAATTGGCCGTAACTTGGTTTGTTCGTAAGTCGGACCCCATAGAGTTACATGCAACCGTGCTGTTCATAAGCACAGATTGCATTCGTAACTTGGGATCCACCATTTACGACAGCTTTGGTCATAACTGTGAACGGTTGTAAGTTGACCATTTGCAACTCGGGGACCGGCTGTATTAAATTTCACTTAAATACACCTATATTACACCTTTCATTCTTCATGAGACTCAACTAGCATGTCAAAGGCCAAAGGTTTCGCTATGTGGGGGCCCGAGTATGCCAAGGCCCACACACTCAGCATCCAGGCCCACCCAAATGAGGGCAGGACCCCACCCCAAATCCACAGGCTGGGACTCCTGATCTTGGCTGGGTGTCAACCAACTTTTCTGCATATCTCTCCTGCCAGCCCTGTGCACTGCTGCCCCAGTTTCCACCCCCATTCCTCCTACCCCCTTTCCTCAGGGCACCAGATCCCTCCTTCACACACATAATCCTTCTTACCCACTCCATGGTCTCCATCCTCCCTCATTGCCTACCCACCAGAAAGCTGGGCCCTCCCACTTTTCCTGTTCTAGCTATGCCACTGCCACAAGCAGACAACAGGACAGAAGCAGCAGAGAAGTGATTAAGTGTGACAGACCTAGATGATGCTAAGAAACCAGCCCGCACCCTATGCTGTAGCAGAAGGCAAAGAACCTATCTGCTTGAGGGAAAATTCCTCTCCAATCCAACATGTGGATATTCATCTTAGAGAAGCCTGCTCTGTACATCTAGCAAGTTATGCATCAGGAAAAAAAATCCTTCCTGACTCATGCAGGCAACTGGCTGCAGCGCAAATCCTTTTCTTAATTCAGAACTGCAAAGATTATGAGCTTGAAGGCAAGGTAGGCAATCTTATTTTCCCTATAGCCTATGAAGGAAGGGGTTAAGAGAATTCAGAGATTCCAGCACCAGAAGGGACTAAGGAGGCAATCCATCCCAACCCCTCTGCATAGTCTGTAGAGTTTCCCCAGAAACTGGAGATTAAAATCATATTTTTAGAAAGAAATCTAGTCTTAGAGACTTCAAGTTAGAGCAAATCCACCACCTCTCCTATTACCTCACAGCTAGGAAACTGTGTTCCTACTGGTAAGACACAAGCCAAACCAACTCTGAACGCAAACCAAAGATCAAATTCAGCTTAGCGGTAAATGGACAACTCCAGTGACCTCCAGGGAACTGAACCTTAAGACCATTGCAGAGATTGGCCCTAAGTAACTCCATCCTAACAATCAAATTAAACTTTTCAAAGTTCTACAGTGAGGCGCGGTCCTAATTGAGGCAATAATGTAAATAAGATTGCTTTCTTTAATCAGCTTTAAAATGCTTTAACCAAATTATGGAATAAGATTACATCGTTTACTGTCACTTTACACCTGTGCTGCATAGGTGGTTTATAAAGGTACTTATGTGGGCTGTAATATTTTGGTTATTGGAGCTAGCATATCTGGCATTAATGATCTGTGATATACAGGTCAGCCTTCATCAGTCTATAACTCAATATTACAAAGACATTTACTCATGCTTCACTTTGATTTAAGTTAGTTTTTTCAGACATTACTCTTATGTTTACAGCTAATAGAGAAACATGTGCATAAGGCTTCATCGGATTGGGCATTTTAAATGACAGATTTATAACCATTTAGACTGCACAGACTACACATTCCTTTCCATAAAGGCACAGTAAAAAATTAAGAATTGGAGTCATCCATCTGACTACGATCAGCTGAAAAGAATTAGCATTTGCTACCATTGACTAACTTCACTCACTGATATTAGGAAAGCAAGCAGCAGTGAAATGAAAAAACAAAATCACTATAGCCATTTTGGAAGCAACATTTCTAGTTTAATTTAGTGTCTGCTAGGCAAATCAAAGACAATACATTTGGGCAAGAAGTCTGCAAGAGATGCTGCTGTAAATAATGGTTCAATACCGATGCTGTAGAGAATTATTTCTCTATTCAGTCTTGTAATGAGACTCAAATAGCTCTTCTCAAGCTTTTTATATCCGGTTACAAAGAGTTGAGAAAAAGGTCTTCCTATTTCAGAGGACAGGTCAAAATATGACTCTTCCTTAGCTTAGCATGAACAACAAACTAAGGTTTGTAGTACATCCTTTGACGGTCCAGACTGGAATTCAAGAGACCTGGGTTCTAGCAAAGAAAAATGTTTCTTAATTTGACAAAAAAGTCAGCTTATTGGTTTAAAAAAAAAATCTGTTTGTTGTACTTATGTAGCATGTTTCACTTCAAACTATTAAAACAGGTGCATCACTGGCCAAATACAATTAAGACATGTTTACTGTATTAATTTGTCAACTTTTGAAAGCAAACAACTTAGAAAAAGACTACTAGAAGAAGCAAAGAAACTTTAAAGTCAACCTGTTCTCAAGCTGCTCAACATATAGTGCTTCTGATACCAAAATTCCATGTCATGGAAATAAGTGATACATAGCAGTCATAGGGTATGCCTACACTGCACGCTTACTTTGGAATAAGCTATTCCAGAAGAAATACTCTGAAATAGCTTATTTCAAAATAAGTGTGTCTACACTACAGGAAAGCCTCAAAATTAGTCTGAGGCAGCATGTCCACATTAGGGAAGCCTATCTCAATTCAGAGCTCCAGGAAGCACTAGGGAGTACAGGCAGTCCCCGAGTTACGCGGATCCGACTTATGTCGGATCCACAGTTACGAACGGGGCCGTCTCCCTGGTCTCCAGCAGACCAGGGAGAGGAAGCAAAGCGGCGGAGCACACGGGCAGCGGACAGCCCAGACGCGTCCGCTGCCCGCATGCTCTGCCGCTTTGCTTCCTCTCCCTGGTCTGCTGGAGACCAGGGAGACGGCCCCGTTCGTAACTGTGGATCCGACATAAGTCGGATCCGCGTATGGAAAGCTGCAGACCAGGGAGACGGGGAG